TTTTGACATCTAATATTTGTCCTTGTACCTGTCCATGTCATTATTTTGTGAGTGACACATACAAACGTGGGCTGTGGGCTGTACTTTTGAGTGCCCCTGATGTAAGTGGAGATGTGTACATTTACTAAGATGTTGAGATAATCTGGCAGTAGGTCATGCTTTTGAAATAATCTGTTTTAGCTCAACACAAATACACAAATCTGTGCCTTTATCTTGAGCTTGAGGACAGTCCTGCATTATCATTAGTGGTGCACCGCCATTATGTGCCTTTTTAGGCACATCGTTTTTACTGGCTTTTCTCTTCCTTTCAAAAGAAAATGATTAAGGTATGCTGGAGCTCCGAGGTAAACAGCGGGTATTCAGCAAGGAGCTAATACACATTAATCTCCTGGCTGAATGCAGACAAAAGAAAAATTCATAGAGTAGAATTAATCTAACCCAAAGGCTAAAATAACGTCAAATTTGTGCTAATTAAATTTTGAAGGAAACCATTGGGAACAGCCTTGTTCCTCCGACCTTACTTAAATAAAGCTTTTGTCTTTGAGACTGATAACCTTCTGCTTTTCTTTGGACTGCTGGAATGTGCTTATCTTCTAAAGGACACTTAAGAGCACAAGTCATGGACGTTCTGCTTTTGATGGAGTAAGGCAAGAAAGACCTGTGCTGCAGGCAATGCACTGGCCCAAATTTGTTATGTCCTAAAAACAAGTATTTAGGTTAGAGTGATCAGAGTGAAAGAATCTCACAAAGCCTTGCTGTATTCTTCATTTATAGTTTATCCTCATTACAAAGGAGTGAATTTAGTGCAACAAACACTTGGGCACTTTTGTATGGAGTATTTTACCAAGAGTGCAGGAAAAACAGAACATTAGGTAAGGCAAGGTAATAAGAACAACAACAAAAAAACTAAAATATGACAAAGGTCATTTATCAGTTGACAGGGAAGTACAGTTTAATGGTTTATAATAATAATAAATTATGGGTCACACTTTAGTTTGTGGACCAATTCTCACCATTAACTAACTAATAACTATGACTTTTACCTTAATAAACTTATAAACTTTTTATCTGTCCAATATGAGGCCCAAACATTTTAATATATTTTTAAAGATGTTTGTTAATACAGATCTTCTTAATACAGATTTTTATCCCACAAAAAGCAAGAGTTTTCACTACCAGTGTCATAGAGTGCAACAGCTGGGTTCCAAAAGTAAAGTAAACTTCCATTAATGATCCATGTAGCACCCACCCATTCCCATCATGCACTGCAAACAATGTAATAGAGTTATGCTGCGTCCCAGTTTGCCTACTTATACTATGCCCTAAAAGTATATACACTTTCGGTGCAGAAAAACGATTTGAGTAGAAGAAAGCTTTGGGACGTAAAATACAACTATGCATATATATGTATATCATCCTGCCATAGTTAACACCTCATACACACTCAGCATTTGATTTCATTACATTTACACTACTCAAACAATTCTTCTTAACGTATTGGGGAGAAAACAGGTAGCACATTGGATAACACTTTATTTCGATAGTCCACTTTAGACATTCTATTAACAGTAAGTAACTTTGTAACTACATGTCAACTAGTAGTTAGTAGAGTATTAGTAGACTATCTGCTTAATATCTTCTAATACTTTCTTTGTCAACTTATTCTACTAAACCTACCCTAAGTCTACTCTGAGAGTTAGTAGACATGTAGTTGCAAATTAATGAGAATTAGTTGACATTCTTTGTCAACTTATTCTACTAAACCTAAACCTACCCTAAGTCTACTCTGAGAGTTAGTAGACATGTAGTTGCAAATTAATGAGAATTAGTTGACATGTAGTTACAAAGTTACTTATAGTTAGTAGAATGTCTAAAGTGGACTATCGAAATAAAGTGTAACCGCACATTGTGCTTCCGGTCATTGGTCTTTAATGCCAAACGTATTACGGGGGGGGAGCAATAAACTTAAAATTTCTCAAAGAGCAATTTTTAAAGGGGACACAAATAATCCAGCTAAACTTGTACTTGTAAGGATATGTATACACAGAGGAAAGCCTTACTACTATTAGTGTAGCAGGGAGACTGTGCCAAATTAGACAACTTCAAGCTGTTGTGGTCGTGCCGTGATAGCGCTCGTGTCCGTTGTAGACATTACCATCACAGTGTTGCCAAGTCCGTGGTTTTCCCATGGAATTGGGCTACTTTATCACTGTTGCCACGGGTTGTTTTTAATGTCCGCGGGTTGAAGCGACCCCAATAACAGCCTTACTTACTGGAGTTCCACAACTATCGACTTCTCTCTCACCGGACTTGTGTGTGTGCAGGTGATGTAAAAGAGGAAAGCAGACATTTGGACCAAAGCACTGTGAGGCAAGGGAGGGGGAGACTCAAAATGTTTCTAAACTTAAAACGCCTTTTTGCCCCATTTGTGTTGTTTTACTACTTACACAATTATTTAAAGCATAAAACTGTCACGAATCCGGTCCATGGCCTTCCGTCTGATTGCCACCAGAGGTTGCCCTTACATTATATTGACTTTCACACCACACAGACTGTAACACGTCACCCTGGACTACATTTCCCATGTTACACTGATGGGACTCACCTGCAGTAAATCATACACACACACACACACACACATGCACACTATATTACACCCACTCAGATCAGTATTGTATAGCATTTATCACTCTCCTAGCGATAGCTACTTTACGGAGCCAGTTCTAGTTTTCATAGTCTAGTCATAGTCTCGATTTGCCTGTTTTCCTGTGTTCAGATTCTTGCCTGTGTTTTTCAGATTACTCTTTTGTCTCGATGTTCTGACTCTGTTTGCCCCTGCCTGGACTATTGCTGTGAACCTCGATTAGCTCTTTGCCTAGCCCTGTTGGATTACGCTCGCTGTTGATTGACCCTCGCCTGTTTTCTGGACTACTCTTGTATCTTGCCCACGATATACCTGTTTCCCATTGTTTGACCCTTGCCTTTTTTGTGACCATGTCTTTGAATAAAGCTTGCATATGGATCTGCACGTCTCTGGTCCCTGACGCTCCGTTACAACAACATTGTTATTTAAAATACACAGCATGGTTTTTAATCATCATTTTAGGGGGGAACAGCCCACAGATGGGGGGGGGGGGGGTTCAACCGGGATTTCAACCTATGGGTTAGAATGATGAATAATAACTTAATAACTCCTTCCAGGGTGTCCCTGCTTAATCAATACACAAACATCAGCTATGTTTGTAGTTCTTTTTACTTGTATTTTTAGTTCCGAACTGAATCTTCCTCCAAAGCGCACTGGGTTGTGGCCAATATTAGACGTTAAAGTGTGCATATCCACACTTCTAAAACTGCATATTTTGAAATAAGCGTAAAAATTGTTTCTATATATAAAATCAATATCTTTAAATAAATAGTTTTGTACTTTTTCATCGTTACATAATTGATGTCCTTTGCAATGCTTACTGGGATTATAGCTGTTTCCCTCATTAAAGCTATTAGGTACACAAAAATATTTTTTTTTACTTTTTGTCCAATTTTTTTTAAAGTTTGTAATGTTGTGGTTCACCTAGTAACTGCTTAGTTTGGTTTGGCTTTAATGGGAAAAACATACTTCTGGTAACCAATTGGATGCATACTGTTGGACTCTATTGTAGAAATGCATTATCAGCAGTTAGTCAACACTAAATTATACCTATGGTAAAGAGTCTAGTAACAGATGGCATTCCAAGAAAAAGTGAGTATTCAGGAGGTCATGTGGTCCTAACATGACTGCCCCCATGAAGTGAACCTCATATTATTATGCCTCTTTAAATAAAGTTGTAATTACCACTAAATGGTTCATGTATAAATACATTATTAAGTATTATATGTTTTGTTGTTTTTGATAAGACACATGGATGATTTTCATGGTTGGGTGCTGGTGGTGGTTTTATATTAATGATTTCTGTCAGACCTGCAAAATTGTGTGCCCTGTGATCTGGGAATTTGTGTTGCCACAATGTTATCTAATTGTTTATTAATTATCATGTTTGTCTCCGTTACGAATTGAAAAAAGTGAAGGGAGTCTGAATACTTTCTGAATGCACTGAATCTCTGAGATGTATGTGTGCTATCAAGGAGTTCAGATGTTTGTACACAGCAGATGCTTAACAGATGAAGTGATCTTTAACAGACATCTTGCAGACATACGTGTGCTGTATGGGATGTATAAATTGCTCAGGTGCATTACCCATTCGTATTGCATAATACATATCTTTGAAATAATTTGACTGGTTTTGAGTGAACATGGCCTGTGTTTACTGGATTTTCCACTCAGCTAAAATAACTGTATTAGCTTATGTGAGATGCAGCAGGGTTTTAGGATCTTTCTTCTTTTTATTGTGATGTATTTTCTTTGTTCTCCACCTAGCTTTGATGGTTTCCTGGTGTGCCTTGTTAGTGTGTCTGGAGTAGAACATGTGAATGTTGTAACACTTTTTTTTTGTTGCACTATCCATCTCAAACTTTGAATTATGTTTTTCTGACATCTTCTAGAAATTACAGTCATTTAAAAATGTACAGTTTATCCTTAAACTGAGTTTATTAACTCTTTCCCCACCATTGACAGAATTTTCCAGCTTTCTGTGGTTTCACTGTTATATGGTTGGAGGCACTATTACTGAAAGAGTGCTGAATCTTCAGATCAAAATACAAGTGAAGAATAAGCAGAAACAAACGACCGTGTATGTAAGCAGATGTATATGTAAAACTAAAATAACATGATCATTACAAATTAAACAGCATATAATTTAAAACTACATAACAATGATATCGTTTTATTTTTATTAATTTTTTTAAATGTTATTGATTTATTTTTTACCCCATCGACCCTGTCACCCAAATAAAATCCAATTTAAGTATTTTAATTTAAAAAAAATCCCAAAAGAATATGTAAAAAAATGTTAAAATCATGTGAGCCATTGTCAGTATTTAATGAGGAAATGCTATTTTTAGCTCTATATAGTTGATGCTCCGTTAATGACAGAAAATGTATCCACGTATTTAAGGCCACGACTTCCCCCGGGGGAAAAACACGACTTGTGTTTTCATCTAAATCGACTCAGTAGATAACTTAGTTGGAGGATGTGACACACAAGAATCCAAGAAAGCACAAATTCCAATATTTTAGCTATTAATTCTAATGTAAGGTCAGCCTGGTTAACTGAGAATTTGCAGTAATCGCACAGCTGAGATGGCACATGTTGTATGCTTCATTAAATCCTGCCCCAGCCAATGGCAGTTCCAGAAAATCAGATTTCCACTTTCTATAATCAATTCCTTTTACTTCTACATTCAATTACAATGTAATATCATTAGTATTCATAAGCACTCCTACATAAGTGTGGTACAGCACATAAACGTTCATACATTAATATAGAATGTACAATATAAATGAGCATCTAAAACAAACTCTTTAATGTACAAACAACTGTACAGACGTACAAAAGTTTATGGATTAATGCAATATTGAACTGTTTAATTTTTAATTTTTTTATAAATTCGATAAATTATGTTTAACATGTCATGTTCAGCACAAGTTAAATGTGTGAAGCGTTAATGATTTATTGAAATATTTAAAGAGTTATTCATCCATATAAAGAGTGCACATTAATTCAATTTTATTAGTCCCATTTGGATTTTACATATTTATAAATCATATTTATAATTTTAGATAAGTGTCCTGCTGTGGTATTTTGACTGAATATTAAACTTTGACTTAAGAGAGTTCATAAACACATACAGTGGGGGAAAAAAGTATTTAGTCAGCCACCAATTGTGCAAGTTCTCCCACTTAAAAAGATGAGAGAGGCCTGTAATTTTCATCATAGGTATACCTCAACTATGAGAGACAAAATGAGAAAAAAATCCAGAAAATCACATTGTAGGATTTTTAAAGAATTTATTTGCAAATTATGGTGGAAAATAAGTATTTGGTCAATAACAAAATTTCATCTCAATACTTTGTTATATACCCTTTGTTGGCAATGACAGAGGTCAAATGTTTTCTGTAAGTCTTCACAAGGTTTTCACACACTGTTGCTGGTATTTTGGCCCATTCCTCCATGCAGATCTCTTCTAGAGCAGTAATGTTTTGGGGCTGTCGCTGGGCAACACGGATTTTCAACTCCCTCCAAAGATTTTCTATGGGGTGAGATCTGGAGACTGGCTAGGCCACCCCAGGACCTTGAAATGCTTCTTACGAAGCCACTCCTTCGTTGCCCGGGCGGTGTGTTTGGGATCATTGTCATGCTGAAAGACCCAGCCACGTTTCATCTTCAATGCCCTTGCTGATGGAAGGATATATATATATATATATATAGCCAATAAAAGTCCAGAATTGTGTGTAATATCAGACGTTGTGTATGTGTTATCACTTTTGAGCTGTTTAGTCACAGAAGTCAGTGCTTAATTTGAGCCGGATCCTGTTCTGGAAAATGTCAGATTTTGGATTTTTGCATTCTGGTATTTGTTTTTAAAGATCTGGCATTAACAAGTGCATTAGATCGTGACAGTGCATGCCTGCATTGTAGACACAGCGATTGTGGGTTTACAGTGGGGAAAAAAAGTATTTAGTCAGCCACCAATTGTGCAAGTTCTCCCACTTAAAAAGATGAGAGAGGCCTGTAATTTTCATCATTGGTATACCTCAACTATGAGAGACAAAATGAGAAAATAAATTCCAGAAAATCACATTGTAGGATTTTTAAAGAATTATGGTGGAAAATAAGTATTTGGTCAATTACAAAATTTCATCTCAATACTTTGTTATATACGCTTTGTTGGCAATGACAGAGGTCAAACTTTTTCTGTAAGTCTTCACAAGGTTTTCACACACTGTTGCTGGTATTTTGGCCCATTCCTCCATGCAGATCTCCTCTAGAGCAGTAATGTTTTGGGGCTGTCGCTGGGCAACATGGATTTTCAACTCCCTCCAAAGATTTTCTATGGGGTTGAGATCTGGAGACTGGCTAGGCCACTCCAGGACCTTGAAATGCTTCTTACGAAGCCACTCCTTCGTTGCCCGGGTGGTGTGTTTGGGATCATTGTCATGCTGAAAGACCCAGCCACGTTTCATCTTCAGTGCCCTTGCTGATGGAAGGAGGTTTTCACTCAAAATCTCATGATACATGGCCCCATTCATTCTTTCGTTTACACGGATCAGTCGTTCTGGTCCCTTTGCAGAAAAACAGCCCCAAAGCATGATGTTTCCACCCCCATGCTTCACAGTAGGTATGGTGTTCTTTGGATGCAACTCAGCATTCTTTCTCCTCCAAACACGACAAGTTGAGTTTTTACCAAAAAGTTCTATTTTGGTTTCATCTGACCATATGACATTCTCCCAATCCTTTTCTGGATCATCCAAATGCTCTCTAGCAAACTTTAGACGGGCCTGGACATGTACTGGCTTAAGCAGGGGGACACGTCTGTCACTGCAGGATTTGAGTCCCTGGCGGCGCAGTGTGTTACTGATGGTAGCCTTTGTTACTTTGGTCCCAGCTCTCTGCAGGTCATTCACTAGGTCCCCCCGTGTGGTTCTGGGCTTTTTGCTCACAGTTCTTGTGATCATTTTGACCCCACGGGGTGAGATCTTGCGTGGAGCCCCAGATCGAGGGAGATTATCAGTGGGTTTGTATGTCTTCCATTTTCTAATAATTGTTCCCACAGTTGATTTCTTCACACCAAGTTGCTTACCTATTGCAGATTCAGTCTTCCCAGCCTGGTGCAGGTCTACAATTTTGTTTCTGGTGTCCTTTGACAGCTCTTTGGTCTTGGCCATGGTGGAGTTTGGAGTGTGACTGTTTGAGGTTGTGGACAGGTGTCTTTTATACTGACAACGAGTTCAAACAGATTCCATTAATACAGGTAACGAGTGGAGGACAGAGGAGCCTCTTCAAGAAGAAGTTACAGGTCTGTGAGAGCCAGAAATCTTGCTTGTTTGTAGGTGACCAAATACTTATTTTACCGAGGAATTTACCAATTAATTCTTTAAAAATCCTACAATGTGATTTTCTGGATTTTTTTTCTCATTTTGTCTCTCATAGTTGAGGTATACCTATGATGAAAATTACAGGCCTCTCTCATCTTTTTAAGTGGGAGAACTTGCACAATTGGTGGCTGACTAAATACTTTTTTGCTCCACTATATGTTCAAGAATTTAGATTTTAGATGCTGTCAATATATTGGTATTGTATGTTTTAATGTCAATCCTTAAAGGTCACAACAACAAAAAAATAAGAAAAAAAAATCTTATGAATAACTACGAAAGGCCTCTCTCATCTTTTTAAGTGGGAGAACTTGCACAATTGGTGGCTGACTAAATACTTTTTTGCTCCACTATATGTTCAAGAATTTAGATTTTAGATGCTGTCAATATATTGGTATTGTATGTTTTAATGTCAATCCTTAAAGGTCACAACAACAAAAAAATAAGAAAAAAAAAATCTTATGAATAACTACGAATAACAACATTCTGAATTGCAGTTGGACATATATATAAGCATATAGATTAAAATATAATACAATATATTTGTTACGGGGCGACAAGGACGAGAGGTGTGCGGATCCATATGCAAGGCTTTTATTTAGAGGCGTGGTCATGAAACAGGTCTCTGTCTACATGGCATAACTAGGTTCTGTCATTCAGAAACATGGCCTTTCATATCACTGCTATGCTGATGACACTCAACTCTACCTCTCATTCCATACTGATGATCTGATGATGTGCTGTTCGCATCTCAGAATGTCTAAAAGACATTTCTTGTTAATATATAAGCATATAGATTAAAATATAATACAATATATTTGTTACGGGGCGACAAGGACGAGAGGTGTGCGGATCCATATGCAAGGCTTTTATTTAGAGGCGTGGTCATGAAACAGGCAAGGGTCAGACAACAACACTGGTACAACACCAACAAGACAAAAGACTATTCTTAGGGCAAGTGTGGGTCTTCGATCAGCAAACGTAATCCAGAGGGTGAGGCAAACGGGTAATCCAAAACATGCAATAATCCAGGCAAGGTGCAAACATAGTCCAAACGACAAGACGAGAGAAATCTAAGACAGGCAGATAATCAGGTAACAGGTAATCACAAGACAAGACTAGACAAGACTATGAAATATGAACTATGAACTAGAAACTAGGGCAGAAAACTGGCTCTGTAATGTAGCTATCACTATGAAAGCGATAAGCCTCTACCTCTCATTCCATACTGATGATCTGATGATGTGCTGTTCGCATCTCAGAATGTCTAAAAGACATTTCTTGTTAGATGACGGACCATCGCCTTCAACTCAACCTGGCTAAGACAGAACTTCTTGTGGTTTCAACTAACCCATCACTTTATCATAATTTCACCATCCAGTTAGGCCCATCAACCATAACTCCTTCAAAAACAGCTAGAAATCTTGGAGTTGTGATTGATGATAAGTTGAATTTCTCAGACCATATGAAATATGAACTATGAACTAGAAACTAGGGCAGAAAACTGGCTCTGTAATGTAGCTATCACTATGAAAGCGATAAGCGCTAAACAATACTCGGCCCTGAACAGTGGTTAGGGCCTCGTATTTAAAGTGTGTGTGATTGGTTGAAGGTGAGTGCGAAATCAGTGCAATGAAACATGGGAAATGTAGTCCAGGGTGATGTGTGACAGTCTGTGTGGTGTGAGTGTCTATAGGCCCTTTCGCACCGCTTTAGTTCCAGAACTAAATGTACAGTACTAAAGTACTGGGACGATTTAGCGCAAACTATTTCCCAGTACTATTTAAAGGGTTGCATTCGCACTGACAGTGTGTACTAAGAAGTGACGTAAGCTGGTCGACAGCGTCGTCATTTGTGCGCGGTCTTCAACAACAGAAACAAAACACTACGTTAACAACAGAAGGATGGAGGATGCTGTGATCAGAGCTGTGTTTTGTTGTGTCTCGCGGGTTTCACAATAATGGACATGGAAAGTCAACGTATACGTAAAGCGATTGAAAGAATGGAAAGGAGGACTAAGAATCTCCAACGACAACTGGCAGTGCTACATTTGCTACAAGTGCCTGCACTTCAGCGTCCGTCCATCGATCGCTGTTCTCTATACTTGCGAAATAAGCATCTTGGAGTTGTGATTGATGATAAGTTGAATTTCTCAGACCACGTTGCTAAAACTGCCCGGTCCTGCAGATTTGCATTATACAACATTAAGAAGATCAGGCCCTTTCTTTCAGAACATGCAACACAACACCTTGTTCAAGCTCTTGTTCTATCCAGGCTGGAATATTGCAATGCTCTCTTGGCAGGTCTTCCAGCTACTTCTATCAAACCTCTACAATTAATCCAAAATGCAGCTGCAAGATTAATCTTTAATGAGCCGAAAAGAACACACGTCACACCTCTGTTCATCATTTTGCACTGGCTACCAGTAGCTGCTCGCATAAAATTCAAGGCATTAATGTTTGCCTGCAAAACCACAACTGGCTCTGCACCCCTTTACCTAAATGAATTACTTCAGAGTTATGTGCCTTCTAGAAGCTTGTGTTCTGCCAATTATCTGCGATTATTGTGCCATCTCAAAGAGGCAGAAAATCACTTTCACTGACTTTTTCATTAACTGATCCCTCCTGGTGGAATGACCTGCCCAACTCAATCCTAGCAGTCAAATCCTTAGCCATCTTCAAGAAACGACTAAAAACACATCTGTTCCATCTTTATTTGACCCTCTAACTCTAGCACTTTCTATTCTATTTTAATTATACTTTATCTATTTATCTTTTTATATAAAAAAAAACTAACACTAGCTTTCTATTTTTTCTATTCTATCTACTTGTTTTTATTTGCGTGTGTGTGTATATATATATATAGGGCTGTCATCGTTAACGCGTTAACGCATGCAATTAATTTTACAATCCTTAACGCGTTAAAATAATTGAACGCAATTAACGCAAAATTACTGAAGCACAGTTTCTATTCTAACCCTTTAACACAATTTTGCTTCTCTGCTTGCGATTAGATAATTTTTAAGCCGCTAAACGCGGAAAGTTTTCATCCAATGATCCAGTAAGCGAATGCATTCAAACAATCCGTCCGAAACAGCGCTAATATAAAGGAAACCAGGCTGATTACATCAGAGATTGCAGAGAGAACAGAGACTCGCGTTTTCAGTGAATTATTCATTCCAGTGTGTTTTGCTTTTAAACACGAGCTCTGTAATATTCTGTGATTGTCTCTGAAGAGTGCAAGCCCTCACACGTCGCACTGTGTGAAGTACAGACTGAACGGATTGTCAACACATCCCACCGCTGTATGGTCAGATGAGACGCAAACTACGTTTTCTCGACTTGATAACCAGTCTCGCTAGTGAAGTTCTGATGGATGAAGACTGCAATCAAGGTAAAGACGATGCGGTGGCGTACAGGAGTCATGCACCCGTGAGTCCGTTATAATAATGCGTGTATGAGTGCTTTTGACGCACTGATCACACATTGTATTTATGCACAGGCACAGACATTTCTGTAAATTCACGTTGTTTCCACACACATTCACGATAATGTTTTGATTTGTCATGTTTATGTTGCTGTGCTTAGTTATACGGAATGGGTCTGTGTACTGTAGCAGATATATGCAGGCAGCAGGCGGTTGGTTTAGGTTTTTTTTGGCATCTCCATGTGGTCCTGTTCGGTATTGCAACTTGGCTTCTCTAAAATGTAAAAAAGCTCTTTGGTGTTGCACTGTACACATACTATAAAATTCAGATTTTTTTTTTTACTTCATATGCGCTTATATGGGCTCCTTATATCATTTTTTGGTGTCCTTTTTGAGTTTCTAAGTGTCCTTTTTTGGAAAGTCATCTAAATTTATCTTGAAAAAAGCTTGCAGAAAATATAGATTTTTGAGAATCACCCTTCAATCTTTTGGTTTACTTTGCTGGATATAGCAAATGATGACAAAATAAACATTTGAAACAAGATAAATGGTCTATGCTTAATTTCATGAAGTGTGTGATTAATTGTGATTAATCACAGAAAAAGGATGTGATTAATCAGATTAAAAAATGTAATCGATTGACAGCCCTAATATATATATATGCATAATAAATATACACAATACACACACATATTATGTAAACAAAAACTTTTATTTTGGAAGGCGATTAATCGCGATTAATCATTTGACAGCACTAATATATATGTAACGTCACTGATACAGTTCTCTCAAACAGTGAGGTCAGTACAGTGCAGAGTTTAGGGGCAGTGCTGTTTACTGTGACTGTTTGTTCACCTCTTTTAGCAGAAATCCATAATCAATGAAAAGCTTTCAGGAAAGCAAACCAATGTGTATTAACTAAGCTCTGTAGATAAGTAGGCCAGAAAAAGACACGGCTGCCTTTATTAGTCATTCTTCTGATGGAATACTGTTAATTCCTGTCAATGTTTCTTTTGTCCTCAGAGGTTCAGGCTCAGCTTTGAGCGGCCTGCATTAGACATGCTCTGAGGAGCCTTCTTATTATTGAAGGCAACTAGAGATCATGAGGTAAAGGACACACTTACGCAGGAAACATCAGGCTGCGGAAAAAACACGACCTGGACCTTCTGTTTAAAAGGGTCATATTCTTTCCCCTCAAGTCCACTTATAACGTTAGTCAAGGTTTCTTGCACCAAAAGCCTTCATGATTTAGTTTCACACCACAATTTTCCACCCTTTGTTTGACCTTTTGAAATAAATGGTTCATTTTCTGGTGCTGCACTTTTAAGATATAAGGACTGGCTAACTACACTATTGTGAGGGCAAAATTTGCATATCAAATTTCCATCTATTTAGATCACACAGTTTAAACATGAAAAAAATAATGAACTTAATGTCATGCATATTTGTCAAACATACAACAATTAAAACAAATTTCTAAAAATAAATAAATAATTACAATAAAAAAAAATCATGGCATACTTTACTATTTATTGTTTACATTTAAAAATTGTCTTTCAAAATGCTTTTTTAAAATTACTTAGAATCAGCATAACTCTGCTCATTGTGAAAACAACTAAACTGTTTTAGTTAAAAAGTATGAACATGGTTAAAATATGGCTGTGATGCAAGCAATATTCAATTGTAAGGAGTGAAATTATTTCCTTATGAAATTATCTCCTCATGAAACCAAGTGTTAGGAACTCACACAAAACAGATGCCATGCAACAAAACCATAAAACTAATCTGGAGAAGAGATCTTCAAAGAGAGCAAACAACACCTCTCTCCTTTGCTCATTTACGACCCCCTTCTCCCCCTGCCCTCTCTACCTTTCCCTCTTTTCCCCAAAAAGGTTTCACTCAAAATTCATTCTGTCAGGACCACTATCGTCAAAGATGATTGACAATTAGCATACAGTCTGAATTGGCGGTATAGTTCCGTTCTGGGCAAGAACTCCCTGTGCATCCATGCAGCCTAGCATGGATGAGAGCAGGGAGAGCAGCAATAACCCCCCCAGGGTAAACAGAACAGAACCAACATAAATATATTGCAGATATTGTTAAAGTTCAATCATTTTATGTACACATTTTAGAATTAATCTGATTCAAAGGAGAATCAGAAGGCTGAATCCCGACTGACAGAGGAGGAGTTGGGGATGGAGGAGGATAATTAGCTATTGAGCAATGTGAAAACTGCTGATAATACTGAGGGACCTTATATATGAATGCTTAAGATAGGTGTCGTATTCCCATAGGTAGATGGGGATCAGCTGAGAGTCAGCTGATGCGAGCTTGACTAATGTGACCTGCCAGAACTAACACTTACACTTGATTTAAGAATATGTATATACCACATATCATGTACCTTGTGAACCTGTTGTTTTTCCCCTTCATGTTTGGTATCGTTCTAAAGGTCTCTGTGTGATTGGTAAATTGGTTTGAACTGATTTGAAGATTTCTTTGTTTCTGGTCTGAGTATATAAGCAAAGTGGCATTATTGTCATTTGGGATTCTGTAGTCAGAATCCCAAACACCGCACATGTGAGACTCTGGAGCTTTGCACTGGAACTCTCATACTGCTGTGTGTCTCTCTGCTGTCAGGTATGCATTTAGTTTTTTTATTCAAAAGTGTAATTGTGTTAAACACATTGTGCCCATTGAGCACACTGTATAGTTGTTTGTGCTACTACATGTGCGCATAGGCTAGTTAAGTTTATTCTCTAAAACACATGATTACTTTGTTGTAAGTTTTCTTTGAAATACTTAGGTAAAAGGTTATAAATGCTATGCATTTTAGACTGTGTGCCTTGTGTTAAATTAGGATAACTGTTACATGTGTGACTATGTTAAATTTGTTTGTCTCCTACGTGGAACACTTGGCTATTCCCCATATAGCTACAGTGTCTATGTACAGGAGCAAGGTTGCCACATGGCTACAATGTAATTCACAACTGCATTATCCTTTCTAAATTGGCTTCTAATTTTTTCATTATGTAATTGGC